CTTTCTAGGTTAGTTTACATTTTCGTATTTAGGTATAAATATTTTCTCAAATCTATTCTTAGTGTTTGGCATTGCATAACAAGTGATAATTCTCTTATATTCCTAATTGCCTATATATTGTTCTTTGAGGGATTCGACCCTGACTCACAGTTGGGTAAATTATATTGCATGTGACCGTGTCTATTTACTTTTTAGTAGTGAATTTGGACATCATCAGCTATCATGTCAGTAACCCCTGGATCTGCACACAAGGTGCAGGGAGTAATGTGAATATGTCAATTTAGTAAATAATAAATGTAAATAAAGATAGAGCAATAAGAAATACTAGAATCCGCGTTATGAAATCTCAGTAAGTACAACATGCTTTCAAATCAATATATAAGTCAAATCATCTATTTTAAAATCCAATTTTGGTAAAAATTATTCGAAAATATTTTTCAACAGTGTCAACAGAGTTTAATGAAATTTAGAGTAAAAGTGATGAAAATCATAAATAGCCCCTCTGGCAAAACAAGTATCAAAAACCGCCCATCGGGCATAACATCATTCAAAATCAGCCCCTCGGGCAAACTTTACAAACACTCATAATTAGCTCCTCAGGCACAACATGGATCAAGAACAGCCCCTCGGACATCATATCACTCACTCAGGGTACTCGCGCTCACTGGGGGTGTACAGACTCCGGAGGGGCTCCTACAGCCCAAGCAATATAGCAAGCCATCTCGTGGCATAATAAATCAGACCCTCGTCCTCTCACATATCACAAATCAGTATAACATGCTGCGGTGCACAGCCCGATCCCATGATATTCTCACAACACAAGCCCTCGGCCTCACTCAGTCAGAAACCTCTTAATCCACTCGGGCTATCAATAAAATAGGGTGCTCAGCCCAAAATATTATTTTATGCATCAAAATGAAGTAAATAAGACTGAGTTATGAAATCAATAAAATATAGCAAGACTGAGTATAGATCTTAAACCAAAACAGTGAGGAAACAATAGTAAAAAGCCCCTAAGGGTCCAATAGCTTGGCACGAGGCCCAAATATAGCATTCAACCCAAAACATAGTAATATATTCCAAAGCACATAAGTATCAAATAGTTTTCAGTCAAATACGTAATCTAATAGTCGCTACGAGACAGACCAAGTCATAATCCCCAATGGTGCATGCCCTCACGCTCGTCACCTAGCGTGCGCGTCACCTCAAAATAGGGAAACGATGTGAAATTCGAGGTTTCATACCCTCAGGACAAGATTTATAATTATTACTTACCTCAAACCGGACAAAACTCTAACCCACGATGTTCTTACCTCTCGACTCGGCCTCTAAATGCTCTGAATCTTACCAAAATTAGTATATTATCATCAATATACGCTAAAGGAATGAATTCCATACGAAAAAAATCAAATTAGACAAAAAACCCCGAATTTGACTCAAACCCGGATCCTGAGCCCACGTCTCAGAATCCAACAAAAAGTGCATAACTAGAAACTCATTTCACTCCTGAGTCTATTCATACCAAAATTATTAAAATCGGACCTCGGATGGCCCCCCAAATCCTCAATCAAAGCTCTCCAAAACTCAAGCCCTAATCCTTCAACTTCACAACAAATCCTCCACTAATTTCATGATTAAATGGTGGAAAAATCATCACAAACACAAAATAAAAAGCCTAAGTAACTTACCTTACTGACACCCCTTGATTCCCTCTTGAAATCACAGCTCTAAGCTCCAAACACGTCCAAAAAATGGTGAAGAATGGACTGAAATTGGCGAAGGAGAACTTATATACTTTCTGCCCATAACTTCCGCATCTGCGGTCCTAATCTCGCACATGCGCAACCGCTTTTGCGGTCCAACCAACCACACCTGCGGTTTCCATTTAAATGCCTAGGACCGCATCTGCGCCCCAGACACCGCACCTGCATTGCCGTAGATGCGTCCAACACACCACATTGGTGGTTCTTCCCCTGATGGTCAAATTATGCACCTGCGATCTCCTTATCGTATTTGCAACCTCGCACTTGCAGTGCCCAATCCACAGGTGCAGAAATGACAGAAGCAACAAATTCAGCAGCATCAACTCAATGCCAATCTTCCCGTCAACCACCCAAATTCATCCCGAGGCCCTCGAGACCTCAACCAAACATGACAACAAGTCACATATCACCATTCAAACTTATTCTAACCTTTTCAACATCCAAAACAACATCAAAACACCCAATTACCCTCGGATTCAAACATAGGGATTTCCAAACTTCCGAATTCCACAACGATGCCGAAACCTAACCTCACCCAAATGACCTGAAATTTTTCACCCACATCACAAATGACATAACAGACCTACTTCAATTTTCGGAATTCCATTCTGATTCGGATATCAAGATTTCCCTTGCCGACCGGAAAATACCAAATTTCTAATTTTGTCAATTCAAGCTTAAATCCACCATGGACCTCCAAATTACCTTCCGAACACGCTTCTAAGTCCAAAATCACCTAACAAAGCTATCCGAACTATTAGAATTCACATCTGAGATCTTCTACACATACGTTAACATCTGGTTGATTTTCCAACATAAGCTTCTAAATAAGAGACTAAGTGTCTCATTCCACTCTAAGACCACTCCGAACACAACACAACCCACACGATATGATAAAATATAGCTGAAAAACATACAAAGAAGCATAAATAGGGGAAACGGGGCTGTACCTCATGAAACGACCGGCTGGGTAGTTACAACCGAGACCTACTACAATATAAAGATGAGGAGTTCTTTCATCTTGACATGCTACTATTTTCGATTTTTGTAGGGGTTTCATCTATTTTAGTACCATTAACTAAGTTGACTCAGAAGGTTGCTCCTTTAAGATGGTTCGATGAGTGTGAGAAGAGATATTAGAAGCTTAAGATTGCTTTGACTACAACCCCAGTGTTGGTGTTACCCATAAATTTTGGGTCATAGATGGTGTATTGTCATTCATCTCATATTGGTCTTGGAGAGGTATTGATGAAGAAGGGTAGGGTGATTGCTTATTTGTCATGACAGTTGAAGCCTCATGAGAAAAATTATTCAGTTCGTGCTTTGGTAATGACAACTATTGTGCATGCGCTTAAGAGTTGGAGGCATTACTTGTACCGTATGTCATTCGAGGTCTACACTGGTCATATGAGTTTTTAACAGTTGTTCAAGTAAAAGAATTTGAATTTGAGACAACGGAAGGGCTTGCGTTGCTTAAGAGTTATGATATCACTATATTGTATCACTCTGGTAATGCGAATGTGGTAGCGGATGGCTTGAGTAAAAAGGTGGAGAGAATGGGAGTTTGAAATTTGTTCCAGCTGAGGAGAGGCCTTTGGCAATAAAGTTTCAGGCATTGGCCTATAAATTTGTAAGATTGGACATTTCTAAGCCTCATATAGTTCTTGCCTGTGTGGTTGCAATGTCGTCCTTGTTTGAGTGTATTTAGGATAGCCAATATGATAATACATATTTGTTGGTGCTTAAGACACAGTGCAATGAGGTGTTACTAAGAAGATGGTTATTAAAGATGATGGTGTATTATGACTCCAGGGTCAATTTGTGTTCCTAATATTGATGGTTTAAAGGTGCTGATTCTTGAGGGGGCTCGCAATTTGAAGTATTCTATTCATCTCGATCTCATGAAGATGTATCATAATTTGAAGCAACATTACTTGTGGTAGAAACTGAATGAGGACATTGTTGGGCATGTTTCACGATGTTTGAATTTCCAGCAAGTGAAGTGTGAACATTAGAAACTAGGTGGTTTGACTTAGAGGTTGGATATACTAGAGTAGAAGTGGAAGTGTGTTACTATGGATTTGTGGTAGGCTTTCCACTGACTTTGAAGAAGCTTGATGCCATTTGGGTCATTGTTGATATATTGACCAAGTCCGTGCATTTTATACTGGTGTTGACTAAATATACTTAAGAGAAGTTTGCACAGATCTACATTAGAGAGATTGTTCGTTTGCATGGTGTGCCTGTTTCTGTCATTTCAAACTGGGTACTTAGTTAACTTCTCACTTTTGGAAAGTTGTTCAGCGTAAGTTGGATAGATAGGTGGAGCTTAGAACAACTTTCACCCATAGACAGATGGTCAGTCCGAGCAGACTATTCAGGTTTTTGAAGATATGTTGAGTGCTTGTGTGGTTGACTTTGGGGGTTATTGGGACCAGTTTCTACTATTGGCAGAGTTTGCATAAAATAACAATTACTAGTCCAACATTCACATGGCTCCATATGAGGCTTGTATGCTGGGCATTGTGGATTTCCTATTGGTTGGTTTGAGCCTAGTGAGGCTAAGTTATTAGATACTTGATTTGGTTCGTGATGTTTTTGATAAGGTGAAGTTGATTAAGGAGAAACTTCGTACAACTCAATCCAAGCAAAAGAGTTTGCTTATAGGTTTGCTTTGCCTTCTAGTATTGCGGGAGTTCATCCGCTATTCCATGTTTCTCTGCTCTAGAAGTATCATGAAGACAAGTCGCATGATTTGAACTTCAGCACAGTGCAGTTAGATGAGAATCTGGCTTATTAAGAAGAGTTAGTGGCCTTTTTGGATAGGTAGGTTCAGAAGTTGAGGTCAAATGAGATCGCGTTGGTGAAGGTGCTTTGGAAAGGCCAACCAAGCGAGGATGCTACTCGGGAGACCAAGTCAGATATGCAGAGCAGATATACACATCTTTTCAGTATTTGAGGAATGTTTCTAAACCCGTTTGAGGACGAACGTTTATTTAAGAGGTGAATAATGTAATAATTCGATAGATCATTTTGAGCATTAAAATCATGTTCCCCTATTTGGCGCTTCGCATAGGTTAATTTGATGGTATGTAACTTGTGGGAATGAGTAGTTTGGTTTAAAGAGAAAATAACAAAAGAGAAAAAGATAAAGTAGATGAAACAAAAGAAGAAAAAAAGGAAAAGAAAAGAAAAGAAAAAAAAGAAAAGAAGCTAATTAATTAGAAGATGCTAACAGCTTTTTTTTGTGTGCTGAAGGGACACATGTTGCTCCACGCCTACAAGTTGTCACTCATAGTTATGGCTCCTAAACCTCAGCGCATTCGTCACTGTAAGTCGTCTCTAACACAAACCCTAATTCACTCTTCCCCTTTTCTCTGGGTTTTTTTTTAAAAGAGTTTGAATTTTTCGTTCATTTTGTTGAGTAGTGGCAGAAGCAACTTGGCAAAGCGCGATGAAGAAAGCAAGGACAATGAGTACTGAAACTGAGACCGAGTCATCATCAATGAAAGACGCCTTCTCCAAATATGCTGATTACCTCAATAACCTTGTTAAGCTTCTTCCCTTTCTCTCTTTTTTGCTCCCTTTGTCTCTGTTCACATACGCATTTGCCTTTTTATTAACTAAATCTGTTTTTCGGTTTTTCTTGAAATGGGGTTTTCTGAATTGGTGTTTTCGAGCAGAAAAAGCGCCCTATTAAATGTTCTAAGTTTCTGCACATTGAAGGGAGGACATGAGATGGGAAAATGTTAGTAGAGTAGGACTAAAAGAATTCGTAGCCTTTAAAGTTGTGTTTTGGAATGAAATAGACGAAGATTCGTAGAGCCTGACTCCAGGAAATTTGCATTGAGGTTAAGCTGATTGTTTTTTGAGACATTGAGAAGAAGAACATTAAATTAGGATTCTTTACATTTTAATGCAAAAATTGTATTGGTACTCAGCTAATGCAAGGATAATTGAATTGGAATATCTGCTGTAAACTTACGATCCTATGGCTTGGATGGCGGACTTCGAACTTATTATCTTTGCTTTTGCTACTTTATATTTTATACCCAAGTTCGCCAAGCGATTTGGTTGTGCCGCTTTATTTTGGGTGTCCAAACATCATATACTAATACTGTTGTGCAATTTTGAACTTTATGGATTAGATGGTTCTGTCAACCAATCAAAAACAAGAAAAAGAAAGTTTATCATTATTATTTTAATAATTAAGAAAAGAGAAATTTACTTTTGAAAGGATGTATCCTATATATTCCACGTACCTACCCTGCTTTTGTAGTTATACATATCCTGATGGTTCTCACTATGTCCAAACTTGAGAACATATGTCTGAAAGTATCCATGCTTGAAAGAGATAAGTCGCAGTTTCAATTCAAGGTCTAGTTTGAAAAGAGAAAGATATAGAATGAGGGCACTCAAAGGTAACCTTGGAGGCTAGAACAAAAAACACTAGGTGATATTTTTCCATCTGCCTAAGCCTTGCTTCCAAAATCGCCTGATACTTGTGTTGGTGGGAGGTAGCAGGAATTCGGTAGAGTAATTGAGGTGCGTGCAAGCTGATCGGGCACCACCGTTATTAAAAAAATGATCTAGAGCGAGGGTTGATGCAGAGAACACTTGATAATTTTGTCTAGCTAGTTCCAGTATGAAGTTTTTATGTGAGCTGATTATAGATCTAATTAAATTGACGATGGAGAATGGTCTGCATATACACGACCCTCCCCAGAACCCACTTGTGGGATTACATTGGGTCTGTTGTTGTTGTTGTTGTTGTTGATGATGATGATGATGAAGAATGATCATCCTTGAGTTCAAAAGCCATCAAAATTCACATAGAATCATCAAATATGAATTTTTACTCTTTATGTTGCAGAATGATAAACGAGAAAGGGTGGTGAAAGCAAGTCGTGATATTACTATGAATAGCAAGAAGGTTATTTTTCAAGTGCACAGGTGCAATCTCTATCAGCACTTTTTTAGTCTATGCAGCCAAGAAGTGTCAAATGTTGGATAGCTATTTATCTGCTTGACTTAATTAGTTTTTTATGACTTATGTAAGGTGAAAAGTTTCCCAGTCAATTTCTTTTTCTTCGCTTCCTTCATGAACAGAATAAGCAAGCACAACAAAGAGGAAGTTCTGGATAAAGCAGTTAAAGATCTGGCAGCTGTGACTGATCAATATGTGTCCCGGCTAGTAAAGGAACTCCAAGGGACTGATTTCTGGAAGTTAAGACGAGCATATTCTCCTGGGGTGGGTCAGTTGGTCTTATTTTGCTTTTGGAGACTTGTAAATAATCCAATTTGACTTCGTTTGTATGTGCTTCCAACTTATAGGTTCAAGAATATGTTGAAGCTGCAACACTTTGTAATTTCTGCAAGACAGGGACACTATTAACTCTTGATGAGATTAATGCAGCCTTTCTCCCATTAAGTGATCCTTCTGTTGAACCCTTGCAGATTAACATCTTAGACTATATCTTAGGGGTAAGTGTATCATCTTCCTGTTTGTATTTCTCCAATTAAGCATTACTAATTGTCTACTTTTCCCCAATAAGAAATATTTCCATATTGCTAAATCTTCTACTTTAGCTTGCGGACTTGACAGGAGAATTGATGAGGTTGGCAATTGGTCGAATATCAGAAGGGGAACTTGATTTTGCTGAGAAGATCTGCAGTTTTGTGCGTGAAATTTACAGGAAGCTTACTCTTATTGCCCCGGAAATGGATGATCCTTCAGATATGAAACAAAAAATGGAAACTATGCTCCAGAGTGTTATGAAGATAGAAAATGGTATAGTCTTCAGCTGTTGTCTATGACTGATTTCTTTCTCTTCGTGCCTTCTAACCTAACTAGTAAAAAACTTCTTTAGTACAGTGTAAACAAATTCTGTTTTTAGCAACTCATGAGGTGAGAAGATTGGGATTGGGGGTAATGTTGGGCATAAATGCTTTTGTTTACTGTCTTAGAGGTTTGTTCTCTTCAAAGTGGACATATTCTAAAGCTTTTAGTTGGATGAATAGAGGAAAAAAAGATTTTACAAAATGTGAATGTGCACTGGCTACTGAATAATATAAATCGTGCTTGTGTGTGGTCAACTGGGTGTTCCATGTACATTAACTATAAGAATACTATAGGTGCTACTCTAGTTATAGTTCTCATCTATTGTTATTTTAATTACATTTGAGTAGAATTGTTAGATTTTTTGTCGCACCAGGTAGTTGGATATTCAGAATCTGAATCCTGAAAAGAAATCTACGCATTAAAACCCATTGTTTTAGTGTTGTATTTCTGCAGTCAATGGCTGTTTTTTGTTTTGGACAAATTGGATAACTGGTCACTACTAACTGAATCTGGAAAAAGAGTTGAGGCATAGTTCTTATCCAACTGAATGTTCTGCAGCTTGTTTTAGTGTTTATGTAAGAGGATCGGAGTACATTCCCCTGCTTGGATCTGCTGACCCCAGTTATCCACTGTTGGGCATGCCAGACCTTGAATGAAGGAGTAATGTCTATTTTGCTAGTGTGTTTACAGAAGTAATGGTGCCTTGTACTAGCTTAATTATGCGGCAATTTTTTATTGAAGGTAGAAAGAGAAGTGTTTGTTTGCTGTAGAAGTTCATCTAGCTCTCCACCTGGATATGCAAATGGTGTAGAGAACTGCATCAAACTGGTGAGGAAAGGAATTTTGGAAGGACGCATTTTCCACATACTTTCCGAAGGTACCTGGTGGGAATTATATGCAACTTTGTAGGGGAAATTGCATAGCTTTTACTTACTCTAGTCCACCTACTGACCTAATGGACCTTGAAATCTGGTTATTACAATCTCAAAGATTTTCCTCTCTTCATCTTGTCTTGAATATATGGCATTCCCTTCCTTTTTCCTTTTTGTATTTTACCCCTTTTGGATCTGGGAATCATTGAATGATACTTCAATGGTGTTGACATCTTTAATCTAATGCATATTTCTTTTTTGGTGCCTCTTGTAAATTGGTCAAGTATTTGCTTTGTCAACTGTAGTCTCCTCCTTTTCCTTGTGTTTTATACAACGACAATCTTGAAATGGTTGCCAAATCTAGTTTTCCAGGATAAAGTTAGACTAGGTTTGTCAAGCTATGTTTTTTTGATTCTATTGTATTTCCTATGAGTCATATGTATGCTATATGATGTGAATCATTGGTTCGACAAATTTTAGAATCTCCGCTCTTTCTGCTTATCGCGTTTCTCTTTTGTCAGACAAAAATTTCAAACTTTACAAGTGAAAGCGTATTTCGTCCCATGCCATCTCTCATGGTCATCTCAATAACCAGACTTTACAATAAGACTTTCTTACCTTATAAACCAAAAAGGAAAAGAGCATTTTAGTGCTTTTCCTTTGATTATGACTGCACATAAAAGTTTGACAACTCAATTGGTGCTCTACTATTGCGTTGATTCTCAACCTATTACCTAAGATGGTAATGTGGCATTTTCCACTTGGTTTGCCTAGCTTGTGCCAATGGTGCCACATTGGGATGATGACAGATAGTAGGAGTACATGCCTTTTGTATTGCAGGCTTTGCAGCATTGCAATAGTTCACTCAATCTTGTTTTTTCCTGTCAGTCTTGGGTGATAACTGTACCATATAGCCTCACTCCCTTTCATTATCATCACCTAATTTACGTAATAAAAAGGGAAAACATCCGTTATATAGTACTGGAGTTTCACTATCTCTCTCTGTCTCTTTAATTTGGTCAATAGGATTAGATTCTGGAAATTTGCAAAAGTTAAAAGAAAAATATTACCATAGAGAATCTTTCTGGTTTGAAAGGATGGGCATCTTCAACCCATAGTTTAGGGTCACGGTGGAGTGGTAGGGCTGGAACCGTCACCGTCATACCTTCTGGTACGGTGAACTTCCCTAATCTGGTTTCCTTAACTTTTCTTGCAGTGGCGACCGCAGGAGGATATAGTCTTAAGGTCTCATTAATGATCATGCTCATCTGCGCCTAGTGGTGACAAAATGGTTAAAACAAAACAGTTATTCACCCATATTATTCATTAAAAAATGGATTGGATAATGAACCTTTTAAAAACGGGTCAAATATGGATAAGAACCATATTATCTACTTAGAAAATGGATAACCAATGAAAAACTAATGAGTTTAATGTAGCGGTCAAACGCACACACAAGTATACGTGGTCGTCAAGTAATAAAGTGAGTAGAAATCAAATGTTGAACCCATGGGGAATTGTGATTAACTATTAACTAAATTAGACTATCCTAATTATCTAAACAAGAATTAAACCTAGAAATATTCGATTCTAAACTAATTAAAATAAAGGAAAATAAATAGTGAACTCTGAAAGCAGATTTTTATGATATCAATGTATCAATGTAATGAAAACGATCTAGGATCATGAGTTATCTAACATTCCTATTGTATTCTTCAATTGAATTGACTAACTAATTTATCTAATTTATTTGTTGACATGGTTAATATTGCTTGATCACGCCCAACTATCCTCTCAAGAGGTCTAGCGGTCGTTGCAAATATAATCCGGTTTACAAGTCCGGAGTCGAATCCCACAGGAAATTAACCTATTAATCACAACCACTAGTTTCGTAAGAATCCAAATAATCAACCTTCAGAAATATTGAATAATGAATTGATTGTTTACTAATTAAAAGTAAGGTAATTAAAAAGCTGTAATTTTACTACTAACAAAGCAAATGTTGTAGACAAGATTGGAAAGGTCTAGGTTTTTGATTTCCCCTATTGTCGGAATCTCCCCTGCTACGGTTCCTATAAATTCACCCAAGTATTCTCTACCGATCGTGAGTACTTTGAGTGTGTAGCTCTCTCTCGAACAACTACCATAATTTACTAGATGTATTCTCTCAGACTACGCTAGCTGACACTAATTTGCCGCTCACTACGATCGCACCAAGGTTTCGTTATCTCTAATCTCGCCTTTAAACCCTCCGCATTGATCTCTCAAATACGTTAGGAGTGTTGTTGTTCAATAACTACCTAAATGTGTACTCTCTATCGAGCAGTACACACTAAATAGGTACAGTCAAATGAGAGCCCTTCAACCAACAACAATAATAATAAAGTTGAACAAGTAGAGAAAAGTAAATGGCGAATTTATATTAAACGCAATGGACAAATCATCCTTTAATAGGTTCCATCTGTCACGACCCTAAACCCAGACCCCGGTTATGATGGCGCCTCTCGTGAAGACAAGGCCAGTCGACACAACACCCAATTCATTTTAAACAATTAAAATAACATAATTTAAGTCATTAACATGATTTAATCCCAAAAGAAATAGTGAAATAATTCAATTTGCGGAAATAAACACAGCCCGATATCGGTGTGTCACCAGTCATGAGCATCTAAACATGTGTCTAAAGAGTCTAAAATAGTTTATACAGTCTATTACAGAACTAGAAATAGAAAGTAAGATAGGAGGGAGAGACACTGGGTTGAGAACGCCTAACAACTACCTAGTGGACTCCGAATAGCCTGCTAGGAGCAATCAACCCTCACTGGTGGGCCCTGAATCTCCTAAATCTGCACACATGGTGCATGGAGTAAAGTGAGTACTCCAACTCAGTGAGTAATAACAATAAATGAAGACTGAGCGATAAGAAATCACGTAAAACACAACAATATCCTATAAAGAGGCAGTGTAAAACCAATAAAAATGCAATAAAATAGTGAAATCTTATTAAAATACCTTAGTTCAGTATAAGCTTCTTTAAAACACATTTTTAACAATTAACCAAGTAAATGAAAAGCAGCTAGAAAAGATAAATACATAAAATCAGCCCTTCGAGCACAACATTAACAGAATCAGCCCCTCGGGCAATAAAATGGAACAACACCAGCTCCTCGGGCTATATCACATATCACACTGGGTACCCGCGCTCACTGGGGGTGTACGGACTCTGGGAGGGGCCCCTTACGACCCAAGCGCAATATCAAGCCATCTCGTGGCATAATCAATAGGCTCTCGGCTTCATATCAAGCCACCTTGTGGCGTACAACTCAGGACCTCGACCTTATAATCATAAATCAGTGCAACACTTGCGGCGTGCAACCCGATCCCCTAATAACCTCACAACACGGGCCCTCGACCCTACTCAGTCAAAAATCTCTAAAAGTCATTCGGGCACAGTAAAATATGATGCTCAGCCCAAAATATGATTTAAAGTGTTAAAATAGAGTAAACATGGCTGAGTTATGAAAACAACATAATATAGCATGACTGAGTACTGATATAAAATTCAAAATAGTGAGAAAATAGCAGTAAAAATCTTCTAAGGGTCCAAACAGTTGATACGAGGCCCAAATAAGGCATTCAGCCCAAAATATGATGATAGCAAATAATTTTCAATAAAATACACGGTAAAACAGTCATTCAGAATAGACTAAGTCACAAACCCCCAATGGTGCACGACCCCACGTTCGTCATCTAGCTTGTGCGTCACCTCAATATAGCACAACGATGTGAAATCTGGGGTTTCATACCCTCAGGACAACATTTACAATCATTACTCATCTCTATCCGGTCCAAACTCTAGCCCGCGATGCCTTTGCCTCTCGAATCGGCCTCCGGATGTTCCACATCTAACCAAAATTAGTGAAAAACTATCAAAATATGCTAGGGGAATAAAGCCCACTCGAAAGAAATCAAATTACAACACAAATCCCGAAATTGGCCAAACCCGAACTCACGTCTCGAAATACGATAAAAATTACATCAATAGACTCCCTATCACTCCCCGAGTTCATTCTTATCAAAATCACCAAAATCCAACCACAAATGATCCCTCAAGTCCCTAATTTTTGGTTTCCAATTATAAGCACTAGTTCTTCAATATTTAGGCTTAAATTCAACAAATTCCATGATTAATTAGGTATAAATCACATTAGGATTGAGTAATTAAGTCCATACATCTTGCCTCCAAGTGTTCCCCCTTGATTCCTTTTTCAATCCCCATCAAAAAGCTTCAAAATCGCCCAAAAATGGAGAAACTTAGACCCAAAATCGCGGAAATAGGTCTTTTAAATATTCTGCCCAGTCATTTCAGATCCTTCTTTGCGAACGCGGTTAACGCCTCGCGTTCGCGGTTAACGCCTCGCGTTCGCGAAGCACAAATTTAAGTTGACCAAAATCCCTTTTACGCGAACGCAACGACCCCCTCGCGAACGCGATGCTTCAGAAGCTCAAACCATCACAAATGCGTCTGCTATTTTGCGAACGCGATGCTTCCTGACTCCAACCCTTCGCGAACGTGGGACCTCCCTCGCGAAAGCGAAGGCCAAATCTCCAGCCTCTCATCCTAACCCTTCACGAACGTGGGACCTCCATCACGAATGCGAAGGCCAAATCTCCGGCCTCTCATCCTAACCGTTCGCGAACGCGAGGGCCCACTCGCGAACGCGAAGGCTAAAAGTCTGCAACACTCTTAGCAGATTTCTGCAACCTTTACAATTTGAAATGGTCCGTTTAACCACCCGAAACTCACCCGAGGCCCTCGGGACCTCAACAAAACATGCCAACCTATCCCATAATATCATTCAAACTTGTTCCAACTTTCGAAATGCTCAAAACAACATCAAAACACCAAATTTGCATCAGATTCAAGCCTAAGAATTCCAAAATCTTCCAAATTCCGATTTAGATCAAAAAGTCTATCAAACCATGTTCCAATGAACTGAAATTTTGCACACACATCCCAAATGACACAATGGACCTACTGCTACTTCTGGAATTCCATTCCGACCTCTATATCAAAATCTCACCTATCAACCAGAAAACGCCAAAATTCCAATTTTGCCAATTCATCCTAATTCTACTCTGTACCTCCAAAACACATTCTAATCACGCTCCTAAATCCCAAATCACCACCCGAAGCTATCCGAACCATCAGAACTCACATCCGAGTCCTTTATCGCATAAGTCAACATCCAATTGACTTTTCCAA